CACATTAAGACAAACTAAAGTATTATAATGACATGGCAGAGACCTGGAGTTGGAACACCAAAAAGGAAGAACATGCTTGGTATTTCTCAAGCTGAATTGAAGAAAAGTTTTAAGCCTCAAGTTGGCAATAGTGAACGACTCAGGAAGCATCAAAGGAAAATGGAAGGAATACACAGAGTTACTGTAACAGAAAGAATTAATGGACGTTTAATCATTTCAGGAGATAGCATGTGATCAAGAACCGATGGTACTGAAGGAAGAAGTCCAAGCTGCACTGAAGACATTGGCCAAAAGCAAGGCTTCAGGAATTGACAGAATACCAAGTGAGATCTTTTCACAAATGGATGCAGTGCTGGAAGTGTTTACTCATCTATGCCAAAAAATTCGGAAGACAACTACCTGGCCAACCTACTGGAAGCGATTCTTATTTATGCCTGTTCCAAAGGTGATCCAACTGAATTGGATGTTATCGAACAATATCATTTATATGACACACAACTAAAATTTTGGTGAAGATCATTCAAAAGCAGTTGCTGCAGTAAATCGACAGCCAACTGTCAAAATTCAAGCTGGATTCAGAAGAGGGTGTGGAACGAGGGATATCATTGCTGATGTCAGATGGATCTTGAGTTAAAGCAGAGAGTACCAGAAAGATGTTTGCTGTGTTTTATTGACTATACAAAGACGTTCAACTGTGTGGATCATAACATTTTTTGGGTAACATTATGAAGAATGGCAGAGAACTTATTCTCCTGAGAAAGCTGTACACAGATCAAGAGGCAGTCGTTTGAAAAGAGCAATGAATAATGCATGGTTTAAAGTCAGAAAAGGTGTGTGTCAGCGTTGTATTCTTTCACTGTATTTAATCAGTCTGTATGCTAAGCAGATAATCCGAAAAACTGGACTGCATGAAGAAGAATGCAGCATCAGGTTTGGAGGAAGACTCATTAACAAGCTGCATTATGCAGATGACACAGCCTTGCTTGCTGTAAGTGAAAACGACCTGAAGCACTTGCTGGTGAAGATCGAAGACCACAGCCTTCATTATGGATTACACCTCAACACAGAAAAAACATCCTCACAACTGGACCAATAAGCAACGTCATAATAAACGGAGAAAAGATTGAAGTTTTCAACGATTGCATTTTACTTGGATCCACAGTCACCTCCCATGGAAACAGCAGTCAAGAAATCAAATGATATACTGCATTGGGGAAATCTGCAAAACACTGTTGGTAAAAAGCAAAGATGTCACTTTGAGGACTAACGTGCCCCTACCCAAGCCATGGTGTTTTCAGTGACCTGATATACGTGTGAAACCTGGGTAAGGAGTAAGGAAGATGGAAGAATTGACATCTTTGAGTTATGGTGTTGTTGAAGAATATTGATTATATCATGGACTACCAGAAGAAAGGGTATGTCTTGGAAAAAGTCCAACCAGAATGCTCCTTAGAAGGGAGGATGGCTAGAGTTCGTCTAGCATACTTTAGACATGTTATCAGTAAGGACCATTCCTTGGAGCAGGACATCATGCTTGGTAATGTAACAGGTCAGTGAAAAAGAGGAAGACCCTCAATGAGATGGATTGACACAGTGGCTGTAGTAGTGGGCTCCAGCATAACAGGGATTGTGATGACAGTGTGGGACCAGGCAGTGTTTCAATCTGTTGTCGCTAGGGTCGCTATGAGTTGGAATCCACTCGATGGCGCCTAACAAAAACAACCACAGTAATGAGTGGTAGGGTTTTTTTTATCATTTTAAAATATGTGACCTGGCCCACTGCAGTGGAGGAGACTTTGAATTTCAGCTCTGGATCGACATTTGCTCTGACACCCTCATACCAGGATTGATTAGACATGATCGTGGCAGCTCACTTCACCCTCTGCCCTGACAACAGGAGCCTTCCTCTTGTACAGCTGCTCTGCTATTCAGTCCACTTTTAGTATCAGAAATGCACTGTAGCAGTCTTTTCTCACTAGATGGGGAAAGCAATGGATTGGTGCTTTTTCACAGAGGCCAGTCCTACAGCCCAGGGAATGCCCAGTGGTCAGTGATTGGGTAATCATGCTTGTGTGCCTTCCAAGGCTGCAGATGTGAGAAAGTGTTAGAGTGGAGGCTGTAGAATGCTCGTATGTAAATCTTTTCTAGGATTCACACTTTGCAAATAAATTATTCACAAAATGATTTTTTTGTGTGTAGAAAAAATACATACAACAAAATATTCAACAATTGAACAATAATTTAGTTACATTTGGACTGAACCCAGGAAGGTAAGTCCTTGTCCAGTGTACTCAGACTTTCCAATTATCTGGACACCGGTCTGTGAGGAAGAGAGAGTAATTTTATTGCAATGCCCAGAGCAAGGAGCTGAGAGGAAGTTCCTCAGATCCGGCTCCCTGAGCTATGGGGAGGCAGGGTTTACATGTGACGTGGGCAGCAAGATGGTGGCCACACAGGTGTACTGGAGCGGGAAAATTCTAGAAGGTGGCCAGGAAACAGGAGGTGATGTAGTTGTTGTTGGACCGCTTGCTTTGGAATAGGGTCCAAGTGATGATTTTCCTTCTGATTTGTTCCACCCGTTGCTATGTCTTTGGTTGAGGTCAATTAGCAGTCACAGCTGGCCCTTCTGCACAATCAGGGCAGGCCAAATCTGACATGAGGTAGTTTAAGGACTAACGGAAATTTACTGGCATTAGTAGGGTCAGGTTACACATTGATTACATTCATAACGTTGCCCACTGTCTTTGTTGTCTAGTGCTATTACAGAAATACTATAAGCAGGTGGCTTTAACAAACAGAAATTTATTTCATCAAAGTTTAGGAGATTAGAAGTCCAAAATCAGGGTATCGACTCTTGAGGAAGGCTTTCTTTCTATGTTGACTCTTGAGGAAGGTCTTTGTTTTTTCTGAGCTTCTGCTTCTGGGCGATCTTCACATGGCTTGCATGTGTCTTCCCCCATCTCTCTTCCCAGTCTCGTTTCTTTTGCTTGCTTAACTTCTTTCATATTTCAAAACAAATTGACTTAAGACACACCCTACACTAATCCTGCCTCTTTCCCAAATGGGATTATAACCACTGACATAGAGATTAGGATTTGTAACACATATTTTTTGGGGGACCCAATTCAATCCATAGCACCCACCCATTACAAAACGGGAATCTTTACTTCTTTCATGATTAGCAAACATAAGGGCGTGCTATTCTGGTTCTTGCGGACATAGAGCTCTTCGTCATGTTATAACATTAGAGTTTGTGCGGGTGTTTAGGTGTATATTTGTTGAGTGGTGTGTTCACTAATAATTTGTGTACAGTAGCATTGGTTCTCAAATCGTGAGAATTCTGGAGAGATCTCGATTCTCATGTTTCGTGTCTCACCTGAGCTCTGTTGAACTTTTCAATGCCCTTTCTGAATCCATGTAAGGGACAGAGAGGTTGAAAGTGCAACTACTGAATTATTGAAAAACAGGTGACAGATGTGTAAAAATTCATAATTCTTGAAAAGAATATTCTGTTTTCAGTAGGTGTCCTTTTATCTCCTGATCACTTGAAATTTTTCAAGAAAATACTAGCATCTTAGGGCTTTGAGTTACCAGTTTGTTGGTGTGGGCCCCTGGGCCTCCTATGACTAGTGAGGGGTAGAAGGAAAAGCTGCAAGTTCTACAGTGTTTCCTACTTGTTCATATCTCATCCTGCATTTACCCTGTGACTCATTTTTCTTGTAGAGTTCTAGCGGGTCTTGTGGCATGGTGGTTAAGAGTTGCTAACCGAAAGGTCAAGATTTCCTTGGAAATTCTATGGGGGCAGTTCTACTCTGTCTTGTACAGTTAGTATGAGTCGGAATCAACTGTAGGGCAACAGGTTTAGTTTTTTGTTTTTCTTAGATGATGGTCTTGTGGAAGGAGGTGAATTTTTTTTTTAAACAAGGAAGTGATCTGAAAGTAGATCTAAGACTTTGATTTGTAGAGCATTTCTCTAATTTGTGGTATGTGCTCTGAGTGTTCTAGTCCATACAGATAGAATAAGACTAGAATTTGTCACAAAGTATAGAGAGATGTGAATGTGTTGAAAGTACACCCACTCCTCACTTATTGACATGGTTAGGTTGCAAAGACTATATCATTATGCAAGATTGGGGGCCGTGCCCTGACTTTGACACCCACGTACCACTAGTCATCACCCATCAGGTGTCCCTGGCAAGTCTCAGGATGCACGTGGCACGGCAGGCCCCTCTTGGGGGGTGATGGTGATGGTGGTCAGGGATTGCCCGCTGCTTCCAGACCAGCAGGCGCCCACTGTTAACTGGACTTGCTCCAGGCCTCTGTGTAGAACCCCCTACCTCTCCTCTCTACCTTTCTACTCCACCAGCCCCAGAGATGGGCCTTGGTGGTGGGCAACTCCTCAGGGGCCTGCTGGCAGGTGAGGACTGGCCACCTGGCTTGGCAAAGGCTACGGATGTGGCAGAGAGACCACTTTGGAAGAAAAGACTTCTGAGCTTCCCACTCGACTCCTGCAGCCCAGGTTCTTGCTGCCTCCTCACGGCCTTACCACTGCCCCACTTAATGCATACCCCACCTAGCTCCTCCACCCAACCTGGGTAATGCAGACTGACCGCTGGCAGCCCATGCGGCCTCACCCCCTTTCACAGAGTTCACTCTTCCTCTCTCTCTTACCTCAGCTCCTTGTTAATGCAAAAAGATAGATTTTTTGGTATTGTTGTAAATGTGAAACGTTTGATAATGAGATAGTAGATAAGTGAGTAGTAGGTGTATTGTTAAATCTATGACACAGGATGCAATAAGTCAGGATGTGAGTGTAGATAGTCTTGGAATAAAGCTGATAAGTGAGGCCTAGATCCTAGAGTATACTATAGTACAACACAGTACCTTGTATCAAATCCCTAGAAATTCTCAGTTCCCCAGGACTGTCAGCCTCACGCATCCTTTTGCACACATTGGAGTGCATGGTATCTTGCTGAACCAAAATATGTGGGGTATTTTAGGATTCAGTGGTCATTGAGGATGTGGCTGTGGAGTTTACCCAGGAAGAGTGGGCTCTACTGGATCTTGCTCAGAGGACACTCTACAAAGATGTGATGATGGAAACTTTCAGAAACCTGGCCTCAGTAGGTAAATATGTTGTCATTATTTAAAATCTATTATTTAGTGAGTACGTATATTGTACTTGTCAGCCTTGCTCTAGTATTTGGGCTGCAGAATGGGAATGCATTATTAAAGAGAACAAGAGTAGTCATTTGATTTATGGATCTTAAAAATTGTGATTCTTTCTGAATATAATGCCCTATGTATTAAAGTTCTTTTTTATTTCTTTTGTTAAAAGCCTTGAGGCTGTTTTAGTTATAAGTGTGACAGTTAACTTGTGGTTTTATCGTAGGTCACAGAGAAAAGACTTATGGTTTGGGACTTATAAAGAGTTTCACTGTGTTTATTACAAGTTCTACATGACTATTTTGCTGTAAATAAATTCACACATGCCCATCTCTGTAGACTCTGAAGGCCAAAGTACTGTTTCAGTCTCAGGAGAATGTTCACTCTCTTCACTGTCTTCTCTCATGATATGTCTTTCTCCAAGAGCACCATGTCAGCTACACCCATTTGTTCTCCCAGAAAAGCAAGAGAAAAATAAGAGAGTGGACATAGGACATCAAGGGCCACTATGTCAGGGAGCACCAGGAAGGCAAAAATCCTTTCAAGGACCAGCTTGCATGGAGAGAACTAGATTTGACTAAATCAGAAAAAATGTCTCTTGGGTTGAGGAGACTGAACTTCACAAACCTGAGCTTTTTTTATTCTCATTGTCTCACACCTGCTTTCATGGAGAAAGAGTTCCCCTTTTCTTCTTCCATGTACGTGGAGCATTTCCACATTACGTGTGCAGTGTGTCTAATATCTTTGCACTTTACTCACCTAATTACAACTTATTTATGTCACTGGCACTCTCAATCTTCATAGAAGTATTTCCTAGAAAATTGCTTTCGGACCATTGCCAATACCTGAAACAGCCAAATGTGTCATTCTTTCTTTACTCACAGCTGCCTTTTTGCTTCTAATAATTCCTCTTCTTTTCTTTCATATTGTGAACCTCAGTTTCAACCATTGGGTCAGTTTCTCAAAACCTTAATGATGGAGAAAAGTTATGCAGTGAATATCTAATAGTGGAATTCATGAAGAATGATATTTGCTCCTCTATATTAGGAGAAATCTGCAAATGGCATGGCATTGAAGATCAGCATAAAAATCAGGGGAGACATGAGAGGTGAGTGTTATTCATGAGAGAGAGCAGTGCCTAATGGGAAAATCTTAGTGTCATGACACTAAAATTACATATATATGTAAAACTAGTTCTGAAATTTCATGTTCACAGAATTTTTATAGTATTTTCATAGATGTTAGATATTGAATATTTGAAATCTATTTCACTTGTATATAATTATCAGACAGTCTGATATTTTGGAAACACTGTGACATTAACGGTAGTCTGTCTACCAGATGATTTAACCTATGAAACATGAGATAACTTGGGGCAAAAATCGTAAACATTCACTGTATTTGGTAATGGTGAAATGGGAACAAATTTAATCCTAACAGCACGCTGCCTATTTTTAACTGAAGGTGTGTTATAAAGAAACTTTTTGAAAATAATGAAGAAAATCAAGGTGGAAAAACCTACAGATGGATTCCAAATCTTGCTGCGTTCAAAAGAACTCCTAATGTAAATTCGTCTGAATGCCACGAGTGTGGAAAATCCTTCATCGATCACTCATCACTTAAGCATCATATCAGATCTCACTCAGGTTGCAGTACTTATCAATGTAAGAAATGTACAGAAGCCTACAGGTGTTCCTCTGACCCAAGCATTCCTGTAAGTACTCTTACTGAAGAGAAACCTTATAAATGTAAGGTGACAGCACTCACTGGAGAGAAACCCTATGAATGTAACAAGTGTGGGGGAGATTTCTGTAGTTTCTCATTCTTTTGGACACATGCGAGAGGTTGTAAGTGTGAATGTAAAGAACGTCAGAAAATCCATCCCTCATCACACCTTTTACAAAAAAAATTTCATAGTGGGGATAAGCCTTATAAATGTAAAAAATATGGGGAAGGCTTCAGTCGTTCGTCGTCATTCACTATACATACAGGAACTCACAGTGGAGACAGGCCTTATGAATGTAAGCACTGTGGAAAAGCCTGTAGTAATTCCTCAGCCCTCGCTACACATTTAAGAACTCACAGTGGAGAGAAGCCTTATGAATGTAAGGAATGTGGGAAAGCCTTTAGATATTACTCATCCCTTACTACGCATGTAAGAGTTCACACTGGAGAGAAGCCTTATGTATGTAAGGACTGTGGGAAAGCCTTTATTCGTTCCTCCTGCCTCAGTAGACATGTTAGAATTCACAGTGGAGAGAGGCCATATGAATGTAAGGAATGCGGGAAAGGCTTCAGTCGTTTCTCCTATCTCGCTAGACATGTAAAAACTCACAGTGAAGAGAGGCCTTTTGAATGTAAGGAATGTGGGAAAGCCTTTAGATATTACTCATCCCTTGCTACACATGTAAGAGTTCACTCTGGAGAGACACCTTATGTATGTAAGGACTGTGGGAAAGCCTTTAGTCGTTCCTCTCACCTCGCTAAACATAGAAGTGTTCGCACTAGAGAGAGGCCTTATGAATGTAAGGAATGTGGGAAAGTCTTTTGTCGTTTTTCGTACTTTACTAGACATTTAAGAACTAATAGTGGAGAGAAGCCTTACGAATGTAAGAAATGTGGGAAAACTTTCAGAAATTATTCATCTCTCACTCAACATACAAGAATTCACAGTGGAGAGAGGCCTTACGAATGTAAGGAATGTGGGAGAGCCTTTACTAGTTTCTCATACCTCACTAGACATATAAGAACTCACAGTGGAGATAAGCCTTACGAATGTAAAGAATGTGGGAAAGCGTTTAGATATTACTCATCCCTCATTCACCATGTAAGAACTCACAGTGGAGAGAGACCATATGAATGTAAAGAATGTGGGAAAGCCTTTACTAGCGTCTCATCCCTCAATAGACATATAAAAACTCACAGTGAAAATATACCTTATACATGTAAGGAATGTAGGAAGACCTTTAGAGATTACTCATCCCTTACTAGACATATAAGAACTCACAGTGGAGAGAAGCCTTATGAATGTGAGGAATGTGCGAAAGCCTTTACTAGTTTCTCATCCCTCGCTAGACACGTAAGAACTCACGGTGGAGACAAGCCTTGAATGTAAGGAATGTGGGAAAGCATTGAGATTATTCATCCCTCAACATATAAGAACTCAGTGTGGCGAGACATTTTGAATGTAAACAATGGAGGAAAGCCTTTAGTCATTCCTCCCACCTTACTAGACAGGTAAGAACTTACAGTAGAGAGAGAACTTAACAAATTTAGGGAATGTGGGAAAGCCATTAGTCATTTCTCCCACCTCACTCAACATGAAAGAGTTCACACTGAAGAGAAGCCTTAGGAATGTAAGGAATGTGGGAAGCTGTTTAGCTATTACTCACAGCTAACTATTGATATAAAAACTCACAGGAAGGTCTTAGGAATTTTAGGAATATAGGAAGGCCCCTAGTGATTGCTAAGACCTCCCTATCATATTTTTGCACAAATAATACATACCTTTTGTGTTGATTTGCCAGTCACTCCCTCCTCCTGTGAGGTATTTTCCTAAGTATGTGTGCTAATTTTTTACATCAGCATTTCTCCCCTGCATCAAAAGGGAAATGATGTGATTGAAGGCTTTATCACAAAGATTAGTCACAGGGTCTTTCCAGTGTGATAGGTCTCATAGCTGGCCTTTTTTATACCAGGGGAGGAATCTTATCCAAGTTAGAAGTGTGGAATTTACTACTGCTTTATCTGCATGTGCATTAATTTCCACTTTTTAGTTTCTAATGTGAACATTAAGGTGAAAAATATCACTCTAATTCCACTTTCAATTCTATGATATGAGTTTTGACAAGTAATGTTTGCATTTTTGTTAGAATCATATTATTCTTTATATTTTGTCTGTTTTTTTTCAGTCTTTCTTGTGTGCACAAAAATGGTTTTAACGGAAACAGGATTGCACTGTATGTTTTAATCCATAATTGGTTCGCAGAGATGCCTTTCTCTTAAACGGTGGTTTGAGTAGCAGGGTTTGAATGGAAAGACATCTCATTCTGTGCCCCAAGTCAATGATGGGCCCACACTGAGACCTCCATGTAATGTAGCTTCAGTGGAACTTCTTAGCTGTACAGACACAGAGATTGTGCTTAGTGACAGAGTCCTGATTTTGGTCATTTTGACAGTCCAAGACTGTGTGCCAGGCCAGGACCTAAGGCTGTAGTTGCTGGGCTGCAATAGTGGATGCTGATCCACCTGGTATGGATACCTCCAATGGGGTCGGAGAAGATGGGAGCCCATCTAGGGTTCCTGTATTAGTGGGGGAAAGACAAGGGGCTGTTGAGTCTAGCAGTTTATCCAGCCCCACTCTGCCCGATGCCGAGCTGGGAGCTGGTTCACTTAGTTCTCAAGTATGGGGCCTGCGAAATGGTGGATGAAGGTCGCAAAAGTCTTCAAATTAGATTTTTTCTTGATCCATCCATTTTTCTCATAGTATCATCCCATGGAAATTCTTGGGGACCATGATGGTGCCTATTGATAGTGGTTTTAGGTAACGCATACCACGAGAGTCAACTTCTGCCAGGAAGGTTGTTAGATTAATGTCTGGCCATGCATCAGAATACTAAACTGCCACTAAATGAGTATTTTCAGAAAAATTTGGACCACAGGAGAGGCAATCATACTATAATGTTGTGTGAAAGGCTGGTGTGTTTGCACAAGGAATCATCTAGACTCCTTAGGAATAAGAATCATTGTCTTAGTTATCTATAACAGAAATACCACAAGTGGATGGCTTTAACAAACAAATTTATTTTCTCACAGTCTAGTGGGCTAGAAGTGCAAATTCAGGGCATCAGCTCCAGGGGAAGGCTTTCCCTGTCTGTCGGCTCCAGAGGAAGGTCCTTCTCATCAATCTTCCCCTGGACTAGAAGCTTCTCCACACAGGAACCCCAAGTCCAAAAGATGCATTGCACTCCTGGTGCCACTCTCTTGGTGGTATGAGGTCCCCTTGTCTTGCTACTTCTTTTATGTCTCAAAAGAGGTTGATTAAAGACACTAATTTTGTAGATCTCATCAATGTAATTATTACTTATCCATCTCACTATAGTATAGTGATAGGATTTACAACATATAGGTAAATCAGTCATGCAGTATTGGGAATCATTAACTAGCCAATTTGGCAGATATTTTTGGGGACACAGTCCATAACAATCATCATCAGCACAAAGTGGGTTCCTATGAGGTGAAGATCAGACATACCTCCACTTTTAACTTCTTCACTGTTTCTGATACCAGTTGTTCCCCCAATGGCACACTCTACTTCTCTGCTGGGTTAAATAATTTTATGCAGTGGCCACAAAGAAACAACAGACAATAGGGGTAGTTATGTGGCTTATTAGGGGAGTAACAGGATACAGTTCAGGAAAAACAAGATCAGCTTTATGAATCAGGACAGCTTCCAACTAGGACAACTCTCTCAGGTCATCTCTGCCATGCTAGCAGACCTTTCTTGGTTGAGCACAGCTCTCTACCTTTGGCCTTCCTGCCATCAGTCTTTCTGTTGCTAACTGGACAGTTTCAGTTATCTAGTGCTGCTATAACAGAAATACCACAAGTGAGTGGCTTTAACAAACAAATTTATTGTCTCACAGTTTAGGAGGCTATAAGTCTGAATTGAGGGCACCAGCTTCAGGGCAAGGCTTTCTCTCTCTGTTAGCTCTGGGCAAAGGTCCTTGTCATCAGTCTTCTCCTTGTCTAGGAGCTTCTCAGGATGCAGACCCCACGTCAAAAGGATATGTTCCGCTCTGTACCTTCTTCATGGTAATGAGGTCCCTCTCCTCTCTGCTCACTTCTCTCTTTTATATCTCAAAAGAGATTGACTCAAGATACAATCTGATCCTGTAGGTTGAGTACTGCCTCATATTCATGACTGCCTCTAATCCTGCCTCATTAACATCATTCAGATTAAGATTTAAAAGACAGGTTAATCAGTCACATCAGATCACAAAATGGACAACCACACAATACGGGGAATCATGGCCTAGTCAAGTTCACACACATTTTTGGGGACACAATTCAATCCATCACATGGCCCAACTCATGATCAGTATAGCAGCCCACTCAGCTCTCTTAGCTACTTTCCTAAAAGCAGCCTCGTGCTATCCTCTGTGTTACAGCTCTTGACCTGTATTACAGATTTTTGGAGCCCTCTTTTCTGTACCTTTGTTGGGTTGCTACTTATATAAACAAACTCCTTGATAATTTCAAAGCATGGCAGTCTCTGCAGGACCATGACTGACTGACCAATCATCTTGGTGGGCTACAAGTCGCTCAATCCTTTTGGGTGGATTTTCAAATGACTATTTGAATAGCAGATCGATCAATCCCTGTAGGTGCATAAAATAAACCAATCACAGGGCCGACTGTGGCCCAACCAGTCGTTTTTGCCAGAATTACAAACCCAGGGTCAGAATGGCCATATATAAAAGAAACTCATTACACTCCAGCAAGGTATAAAATAGTGTGTGTGGGATGATGTCAGTTTGTAAACTATTTATATATTAATGTACATTTTACAAATGTCAATAAACTATTTTGTAGAGACAGTCCATTCTAGAATACTAAAAGGGATTCTTCCATGAAGGTGAGAATTATAATTGATTTCTTGTCTCGTTCTGCTTCTTAATTTTCAATTTTTTAACATTTATTCATTTCTTGTGAAAATTTTTCCCTTATTTTTTAAATTTACAAACAGTAATTTACTTTTGGAATCTTAGTTCACAAATGCATAAAGTCTCATAATCAGTTGCAAAATGAAAGTACAGGACGGTACCATTCTTCTCTCCAAAATTCTCCCCAGTGCTGCCCCTTTTTAGTCAAACTTTCTCTGGGCCATGAGTCCCTAGCAGCTGTCCCCATACTTACCATGTACTGTGTAGCTTTTTGATTCTGGCTTCTGTCATATAACAATGCATTTGAGAGTCATCCATGTTGATGAATGTATCAATAGCTTGTTCCTTTTAATTGCTGTGTAGTATTCCATTGTACAGCCATACTGTAGTTTGTGTATTTGCCAACTGGAAGACATTTGTATTTAGTTGTTTTGAATAAAGCTGATATATTTTCAAACAGATTTTATGTGAACTTATAGTTTTCCTTTTTCTTGCATATATCCCTCAAAGTAAGATTCTTGTCATAGATTAGGTGTATGTTTAACTGGATAAGAAACTGCTGATCTGTTTTTAAAGAGGCTGTGCCATTTCATATTCCCACCAGCAATCTATTCCAGTTATGTTGGAATCTGGACAGGCTGATTTCTGTTGCAATCTTGTAGTACATTTCTGGCACAGGTGTCAAGGAGGGGGCACCCATTCAGGTGTGTGGCTTACTTTCTCAGTGCTGCTATAACAAATACCATAAGTGTGTGGCTTTAACAAATGAAATTTATCTTCTCACATTTTAGGGTAGAAGTCAAAGTTTAGGGTGTCATCTCAAGGGTAGTCTCTGTGCTCTGGGGGAAGGTCCTTGTCTCCTCAGCTTCTGTGCTGTTCCTTGACATTCTTCATGTGTCATGGCACCTGTGTTTCCCCATCAGTGCTTTCTAGCTTTTGTGTCTAATCTACTCCTTTTGTATCTTTTAGATGATTGGTTTAAGGCACACCCTATACTGATGTGGCCTCATTAACATACCAAGAAACCTATTCTGGATGGGAGTACATCCACAGGTATAGGGATTAGGATTTACAACACGTACACACAATCCAATCCCTAATAGTGACTCATCTGACAGGAACCCCAACATTTGCTTAGGAGAGGGATGTCCTGTAGCAGTCTTTATTAGACAACAGGCCCATGTGTAGGGGACTTCAGGCTTTCCTACCACTGCCGCTGCCAACCTGGTCTGAACCCAAGGCCCAACCAAGTCTCGTGGAAGGAAAACATTTCTACTCGGGTCCCCGCTGCAGGAAGTGGCCATTGTTCCTTGTCACCACAATTTGGCCAATATTCTGTTTCTGGCATGGAAACCGGAAGTGGATGTGGACCTCTGAGTTACCGGGTCAGCTGGTGAACAGCCTTCTTACCACTCACTGCCTCCACTCCTGCATCTGAAGTAAGTG